AGTTGCTTCCAAGCAGATCCGACTGTCCGTGCTACATATACGTCACAGGTCCCTTCTGTTGATGACTTGCTGAGCCGCCACGCGTGCCAAGACTGAATGCCAGGGAAGGCGCGCACCGTCAGCCACTCTTCTTTTTTTTGTTCACGATACCGAACAACCTCATTTTCGTCCAGATATACAAGATGCACGCCTTTCAGTTTCTTTGATAGAACGCTCACCATTGTCCTGGCCGTCTGAATTGCGCTTACTGAACGTTCTCTCAGGTTGTTCAGCGTGGCCTGGTGCTTCACGAGTCCGCGAACTCCGTCACATGCATTTTTCCCATGTCCAGATGCAGAAAATAACCACTGGGCTTGTGGGCAATCGTCCTTTGCAAATTGGTGAAGCTGGTAGCGATTCTTGAAATGACTGGCGGCGCCGTCACTTACGTACGTCACGTACGAGTATACCGCAACGTTGTCTTCAACCCACTCCTTCACTTTTTCTAGAGCCAAGCAAGCGTGAGCGGCGTCGTGACACAGGTCCTCACTGATGATGGCAAAGCTGTTTGTAGATTTTCTTGTCGTCACTACACATGTAAATATCGAAACTTGTTTTTTTTTTTTTTTTCAGTGATATGCTTGCACTTCGTCAGGAAGCACGATGGTCCAGTTTTCAGCAAAGTCAAAATGAAAGACAATGCTCCCGCGTTGCATGCACTGTTTTTCATCGTAGATCGCTTTACCTTGCGTTTGCCGGATATGGTTGTGAAGTACCCAACTTCCAACCGTCACTTGGATGACTTTTAGGAAAGTCTCAGGTTCCAAAGTTTTTTTCACAAGGTCGCCGGACTCCCATGTTGCAAGCACAATCTCTTCATCCTCCGGGATATCAAGTTCCTGGAGTGTAAGAAACTGGCCTTTTGGGCAGTGATCACAGTCTCCTTGAAGGCACAGTTATGTTGCTGGATCGCACAGAAATGCCGAGTTCATTTCACCAGTGTTGAATGTTGAGCCTGTAACGTTCTCTAAAGCGGCAATACAAAGATAATAATTGGCGCAGCGCACACAAACGCACACTTCCTGCTGTGGAATACATTGGAACCATCTAGGGCGCAACGAATAAAATTTCGTTAGCCCAACGCCGGAATCGGGATGCTTGTCTTTGTATATACGGAAGGCCTCTCGTATTGAGCGTGTCATGAAGCGCTTTGGCACGAACGTTTTCTCTCCGTTGAGCATGACAGAGATGACGTCCTTCTGGTTGGGACTTTGGCGCGAACATTGTAGCTCGTCTTTCGTGAAGTACTCTAGGGCAGCAGACAGGTTCTCAGGGCTCACCTTGCACCTCGTGTAAAGATCCGGCTCATACCACACGCCATGCTTTTCCTTGAGTTTTCGGGATTTACTGATGAGGTACATTGAGGCCTGTGGAATCATCTTTTGAACCTCATTCTTCGTCAGTGTTGACGGCAGGAGTGTAAGCAGTTGACAACGTTCCCGGAGAGAGGTGGCGGTTTTAAAGGCCTGCCGAAAGTTGTCCACCCACTCAGTGCATGTGGAGCATGTTGGTTCGGACGACCCCGATGGTGCGTCCCTGTCGTGCGCAATACGTAGCCTTGAGCGTATATTCTTGACAGCAACCTGCTCCAGTTCTGTCTGCTTTCTCTTGACATAGGTAGGCCTGTCCCGACTTCTTACGACGCTTGGTTGTCTCAGCGGCGACACATCTGTAGGTAGTATGCTGCGATTTAGATCTTCAATTGCTTCTTCAGCTGGCACAAATATGTCAGGGCACTGCTCTGAGCTTCGCATCGAGATCTCCTTAGTGATGTGCATGAAGCAATGGTAGCACAGGTAGTCCGTCGCACTCACTTTGGTGGAAAAGTCAGGCGGAAGAATTTGCTTCAACGAGTTTAGGTCCAACTCGCCAACACTTCGAAAATTCCGCTGCTTTGGTATAGTCTTTTTGTGTTTGCAAAAGTAATCTGCACAAAACACTCGTTCGGAGCTCCAGGACGTCTTCATAATGTATACATAAATAATAGAAATTAAACCCCAACTGATGGCATATAATTGCCAAGTGAAAGAACTACTGGGTGCACAAGTGACAAGTCCGAGGCTGAGGAGCTCAGTCACTGCAAACGTACATTTGAAAAGAGAGGTCACAACTGAGGCTGTCGGCAAAGCTTGATCCACGTCAAAGGAAGAAAGAGGGAAAGTCTCCAGACAAAAAATTGTGGTCAGCGGCCTTCGAAAAAGACTTTCCGGAATCGCACTGTCGTCCCTCCACGCGCTGATATGAAAGCACCCGAGCTTCTACCACGTGGTTCATGACACAGCCTGAGCCATGTCGGCGACCGGTTCGCGAGGGGTTGGCGGTGGGGTTACGTTGATGGTCACTCGGATTAGCCCTTGCTGTACTGAGCTACCGCCTGCAGTGCCTTATCGCCGGCTGGTGTCAACAACGAGAACACACACACCCTGTCTACACCAAAACTACAAGCGTTCACCGCACACGCGTCGCCGCCGCTTTTAAGCTTTTGTGAAATTGCTTTCTTTTGCCGCGGAGAACCGCCTTATCTTAACTACGCGCCTGAAATCCTTCCAGGCGGGCGTACACAATATCAAGCGTTTCGAGAAATGCCCGTGGAGTAGAACTATGGGAAAATTCAGAGCCCGCGATGTCGATATCGTCGCCGTTGTGTTAGTACGCCGTCGCGTACTGCAGTCCCCCGTTGGGGGAGGGGTGGGGGGGGGGGGGGGGGCGGTCTTACTACGATAACATGGCGACAGCGTTTACACTCTATGTATTTACGCGAGGCTCGAGTATTTGGGGATAATGCTGCCGGTTGGTGTGCCCCTTTGTGCCTGATATTATCGCCCGTGACGCCAGCGAGTAAGATGGCGACAGGCATGACTGCTCAGTAAACAGGCGTCGGCGGCCATGTTTTGCTGGTTGAAGCGAACCCCCTTGCCCTTGACAGCGAGCGGGGAAATGCGAAAAAAAGATTGTATCGGCCGTTTTGCCAGAACTAGCGACGAGTGTCGTCTGCGCGGTTTCCGGCAACTATTTTGCCATAATCGTGAGCTTAGCGAGGAAATGATTTTTGCTAGCCACAGAACACTACCACGCAGAAAGGGAATGCTTGAACATGTTTTTGTTCTGGATATATATCAGGGATATATATGAGAGAGAGAGAGATGAAGGTAGAGCGGAAGAGGGAATAGCATATAGTGTCGCAGGAGAATAAAGTAAACAAAGTTCCTAGTGGCCGATGGCTGCATGATCTTTTCTCGGATCACTAGTCCGTAATATGATACCTCTTTGTACACAGTAGTTTCTCCTTAACTTAAGTGTGTGAACGATTTCTTTAGTTATCATTGGCCTCATCTGAATAAAAATATATAAAAGATGTGTGTTGCTTTCATGAAACTGGAACTCAGAGTCAGTTCTTGTATAAAACACTGCTAAGTGTAGGCTTTGAAAAAGGACCCTACTTTGGGGAGTTGTATCTTCTTTCTCAATAAAATGATGCAACATGTTTTTAATGGAAATGAATGCCGAAAGAGTATAACAGGTTACCTAAATTTAAAAAAAATCGAGGGTGGTGTTTTTTTTTATTCGCATCGGAATTTTTCTGTTTGATTTTTTTTCCATGTTTGACTAAATATATCCTAACTATTGTATCACACAGATACCTTAGTTATTTTTTAAATATTAGCTATATATTAGTAGAATAATATCTGCAAATTATATCATAATGATTAAATTATTTCATGAGATACAGACCTCCAAAGTTTGCCATTTGTCGTTCGAGCAGGCATGTTTGTCAATTTTTAGAAAAATAAATAAATTTTAAATAAATATGATTACTTTATATTACAAGCAAGCTATACCCATAGTTTGCGCCTAAAACGTATTAGAGTTCTCATAATGTTATCGCTTTAGTTATTCACTCTCAAACGGGCCCCCTCCATCAGTGCGCGTTAATGCAACTGTCCACCACCTCATGCCTTACGACTTTTCCTGTCCCCAAGTATTTTTTCTAGTCAAAACTAAGTTTGGATTCGTTCATACCAGACACTAGACAATAACATATGAAAACATCAGTTCATTTGAAAATGTCGACTAGCCATCCTTTGGTCGATCTTATCTGAAATCACCCTATAGACGCTTTCAGCGCGCGCCAGATTGAGCCGCCATAGCCGACCTTCTCTTGTCTTACCGAGATGCCGAGCCACTGAAGCGGACTTTGACAAGCCTCCACAACGGCCTTGGCTGGGGAGAAGGACACTGTAGCAACTAAAGTGGCAGTAACCTGTCCTGCTGTCGCAATGATGAAGTGAAGCGAACGGAATAAGAGGAAACAAAAACTGAAGGTCGGTTATGGCGGCGCCCATGCACAGCTGCCTGAAAGCGTCTACAAGTTTTGGACAAGCTCAGGACTTGTATCAAACAATCACGCGCTGCTTTAAGGATGCACGAGCAGGATATCGATTCACAGCCATCTCTATGCACTTTGAAAACTGTAGACAACCCCACTTGCACGTGGTCCACAAATGCGCCTGGTCAAATGGAACATGCAGATGCGTCGCTTTCTATAGGATCGCCCGCAGACCAAATCGCGCTTCGGTATGAACTTGTCACACAACAGGGCGGACTACTGGCGTCTCATCATCTTAGTAAATACCCCCGCCGGCTCAAGCACTTTACGCTGGCAGGAGCAGATTGGCGCAAACACGTTGGAACTGCGACTGTGGAACACGCAGGACATTTTGGACGTTTAACCTCAAGAACAATGGAGGCACTATTTGGAGCATTTTGAGTACAAGTCCCTGCGAAGACTGTTTCAGAACACAGACGGCCATGAAGACGCTATGTCACTTTGCACAATTAACCAAGCTACATGTTTATCTATTAAACTCTGAATCAGTTCCCAACTGCATAAGTTGGCATGACGACTCACCAATGGCTGCAAAGTCACAAGCATGGAGAGAAAAGACATTGAGGCACGAGAGGAAAGAGCCTAACCCCGCATTCTTTTATTATAAATAAAGAAACAATCCCATTCTTTTCAAATTTTACAATGTCTGCGTCTTGTTCAGCCGTCGGTAGAAGATTTGAGCGCCACCTTGAAGACGACGGACATGGGGGACGTCACATCAGCCACAACCAGCTCTTGTCCATCAACAAACTCCAGCTCTGGAGGTGGGAAAAGAAACAACAAGTGGGACATGATCGAGCAGTTGGAAGCTCTCTTAAATATAGGCTCTCTGGAGAATACACTGGCATGATGGCACTACCTGTGAGGTGACCCTGGAGCCAGGCACGTAGCCAAGATTTTGTTTCGGGGGGGGGGGGGGGGGGGGTGTTATTGACAAAATGAGGTATGAGGGTGAGGGGGAAGAGGAGAACCCAGCAAAACGGAAAATTTCGGGGGGGGGGGGCCGGGCACCATGGGCCCCACCCCCTGGCTACGTGCCTGCCTGGAGCTGCATTTCACTAAAGCGAAAGTTTTGCAGTATTTATGAGATCACAAGTACAGAGCGCGACACTGTTAGCGCGAACAAGCGATCGCCGGTTTTTCCAGTTTTTCTCTTTGAAACCAAGGGATGTCATCGAAGTCATTATTGCTACTGAAAGAGCTCAATTAGCTCTATAATGTAAGCGATAAAATTTCATGCTCGCTAATACTATTTAGAAGAAAAAGGCAAAAATGCGCGGATGTCGTGTTCGCGCTAACAGTGTCGCGATGTGTACATAGTACTATCTATGATAGATGGTCGTTTATAACATTGCCAAAAGCTTTTTGAGGCAAGAAAGAACAATGGGCAAAACAAGTAGGAAATACACTGAACAACTTATTTTTTACGGGCTCAATATTTTGCGATTTAGGTCAAAGCTTAAGGTTTGGAATAATTCGCAGGTTCTAATTTTCCTGACGCGGTGGGATCTTAACATAGATTCCAATCTGTTTACATTTTACCAGTATTGTTCGCGGGACCTATTTTTCGCGAATTGTAGTCGATTTGCAAACATTAGGTTTTTGCAAAAACTAAGTCGTTTAAAGTATACGGAAACCGCCAGTGTCTTCATTTGGCCTTCAGGATCGTGAATATCAAAACTATATTTCAGATTGATGGGCCAAGTTGCCACAACAGCAGATTCAAAATAGCGCTGAAGTCCCTCATTCCCGGCGAGAGAATTGTGACGTATTATACAGAGATCTCAACGTTTCTACGCATTCCGCAAGCCTCACCCTAGCAATTAAAAACACTGCACGGGTTCCCTGAGCTTCCCACACAAGCGCCAAGCGCAAAGGCAGTTGAAAACTCTGCGTACGACATCACACCCAGCAGTTGGATTTTCGGTTTTTCTCGCGTCCATTGATACATTCAGGTCACATGCTCGTGAAATCCAAATTCATGGGACAAAAATATGCTGGAATTCACCTCTCTAATTTTTTTTCCAAGAACCTCTTCAGCTTCCTTTTAACTCTTAAATATCATCATTTTCTTATTACACAAGGTTTTGACATCAAATTTTGGTTGCACAGTAGCTCTTTAAAAGAATCCTGTAGCGAACCTTCCAATTGGTTTCTTTTAGTTTGGATTCCTCTTCTCACAAAAATAGAGAATTTGGGTGAACCCTATGAAACTTGAACTACACTAAACACCGAGCATCCACCCATTCTACAATAAGCACCCACCCTCAATTTCGTAACAATCTGAAAATACAGAAAGAACATATCTTTACATTAAAAGGTTAAAAGGTGCGAACAAACAGGACGAAAAAAGACACACGTACGTGTCTTTTTTCTACCTGTTTGTTCGTGCCTCTTAACCTTTTAATCAATATGAACCAACTAGCCCCCACCAAAGTTTTATTATATCGTTACATATTGTTGACCTAAGAAGCATCAATCTCCCAGTTTTACATGAGTATCTCCAAATTTGGGTGGGATTTTACTGTAACAGGTTCAAAGCATTCCTCTTACCTAGGGGTTCTCTTCGAGAGATTTCCTTTTAAGTCCACTGCATTAGCAAGCTCAAAGCCACTGCGGCTTTTTTAAGAAAAAATATTTCTAGATGCAAAGTATGACCTAAGGCAACCCAATAGAACTCAGAACCAGAGGTCTCTCCCATGTTAGACCAAGTCATGACGGAGAGCTGTGCAGCCTGCACATAAAGTTGCCGACGAGATAAACAAAGAGGCTCTCGCTAGGCCTGCCTTACCCTTGAGTGTCTTCTTGAGGTTTGCCCTGGTACGTTCCTCGATGGACGCCACTGAGGGCATGTAGAGAGTCCTGTTGCGACCTGCCACGGTCGTAGTCATGCCAGGAGCTTTCATTTGACTGGAAAACATGAAAAGAAGTGTTCCTGATACAATTCATTTTTTTTTTTCCCTCGAGACAGCTTGAGCTAGGGTCACTAGAAAGAAGTGGAAACAAAGGACGGTCTGCCAAATACCGCCATCCTTTCGCCCACCAACAGAGTCGCGGTGAACCTAGAGCAATGCCGCAGAAACTGCATTTTTACTCAGTCAGTCGGTCACACAAGTTCTGGATGGTAACTATGACGAGGTTCCTCTGTCGCCGTGGTGGGGCCTCATGGTTTGTGCTGTGCGCTACTCCACCTCTGAACAATATAAAAAGGGTAAATTTTTTTTTCTAGGTAACTGTCGATGCCAGATAAATAATCCAATGTCGATCACGCCCTGTGCAGGCTAGCTTCCCCCCTTGTTTAGCAAGAACATAACTTCAAAGAACAGGCTGAGAGGGATGTACAGAAGGGAACTTTAAGAGTCCAAGCGAAGCTCCTCCAACCTCCTTCCACTTCAGCAGAGCGAATGCTGAAGGGAGTCAGCTCCTCTCCAGCGTTTGCTCTGCTAAAGCAGAAAGATGTGGTAGGAGCTTCCCCCGAGCTCTTAACCTGCCACCGACTATAAGTACCTAACTAGCCATGTAGATACAACTACTGCCAACATAAGCATAAGTTTCAAGATGGTGGGATGGATGGATTAAAGTTGGCAGTTGCCTCAATTGTGAAGGTACAGGTAGACTTCCGTTACGCTCTATTTTAGGACTATGCTCATACCAGCAATGAGCGGGGCAGCTGGGTACCAATGTGTTGCTTTATTAATTTTGAGGACCCTGAATACAAAAAGAAACAACATACAACTGACCAAATAAACTTTTTTTTTTTAAAGAAGTACAGTATATATGCGTAAAACGAATCTTGAATTATAGCTCTAACCACCAAATGAAGCTGTTGCACCCAAAATATGCGCAAAAAAAAACTAATGAACAAAACTGCTAAGAAGAGAAGCGTACAAAAAAAAAAAAAAACGCCAGTGGAGGGGAAAACAGCAAGGCGATACAGCCCGAGCAAGGCGAACCGGGTGGTGAAAGGATCACTCACAACTCGGGCCTGCTGACCAGGTGGTCAAAGATGTCCTGGAGCTTGGCACTCTCGTCAAACTGCAGCGTGGTCGGCACCTGGCTGCAGGCCAGGCACTTCTCCTGCGCCCGCCGGTCACGCACGCATTCACCCTCACAATGCATACGAGGTAAGAAAAGTGCACCAACGAAGATCTCTGATCGGAATGGGCTCGCGCTCTCCAAAAATAAGGTAAGTGCGGCACTATTAGTCGCCGACAGTGTGAGAACGACAAGGCGCGTCTTTCTCCTCCCTGTCATTCTTACCTTGTTTGTGACCGTAATAAAAATGAGGCTCAACACTTCCAATGGAATTCGTAAAATCGTGGTGGATGGTGCTGGCTTGCGTGGCCATCAGTTGATGACCTAAACTACCCCGTGAAACAATGCCCTTTGGCCAATGTGCTCGTAGCTGTATGCGTGAAATAAATGCAACCTACCCTTTCCCGGTTGTTTTCACAACCCTGCTATAATCAGTTATTCAACTACATAGCACAAAACGTTTGCGAAAAGAAGGCATGCAACCTAGCAATCGCGGTTTAACGACTATTTTCCGACAGGAATACGTGCCGTCCGCATTTATCACATTACGTTACGACACCTCGCCGAGCAAAAAGCATCGAAACCAGTAATTACAACTGTAACAAAGAACAAGTATCTGGTTGATTAGACTATGCTAAAAGTTACAAAAGATTACAGTGAAACCCATTTAGAACCAACCCATGTACAGTGAATTATTGCCAATATTGATCTCACGGAAAATTTAAATAAAGATGCATGTAAAAAGTACTTTTTATTGCGAACTAGATATTGCCTATATCAAACTTTTCCCCCCGGGAAGGCTTCCAAAACGCAAGAACAATCCTTTCCTAGCCTGTTCTTTCCCCTAAAAAAGAAGTGGGAAAGAGAGAAAATTTCAAAAGCTCAAGTTGCAAACAAACTTGAGCGAAGAGAAGCGATTCAGAAGGGGAGAAAGCTAAAAAAATATTCTGCACGCACAAACAATGAAAAAAGGAGATAAGCTAAAAAAAAGGAAAACTCTGCATGCATGCAAAACAAAAACAAAAAAATTACTGCACATTGTTACAAGGCAGAGGGTCAAGAGATGAGAAAGAAAGAGAAGCTCTCGCCTTACAACGAACACATTGTGGAAGTTCGTTGTAAATGGTTTTTGCTATATCGAACTACTTGCTATATCGAACTGATCATAGCGTTTCCTGCTGTTCGTTATAAACGGGTTTGACTGTATAATTAAAAATAATAACTGTATATTACATACTTTGTATGCACACCACAAGAAACAATGACATGCCTGTAATGTTTTTGTTTTTTTCCCATTTCCATTCATCCACTCTTTCACATACAATGAAAACGATAATTTATGCAAAATAATTCAAATGCTTTTTTTCTTGCTACTAATCAATGCAGTAAGAGCAATTTCGGAGACCTCTCAAAAAGTGAAAATTATGAGCTCTGAAAATAATCAAATTACCAGTTTGCTCGCTGTAGAGAAAATAAAATAAAGCATACACGAAATGAGCAATTATATACCCACAAATGTTTGATCAATGAGAAACAACCTGACTGTACTTGTTACAAGTACCAAACAGGTCTGATTAAGACCTTTCCACCTTCAGGAATGAAGTAGCCAGAATTCAATTGAGAGTACCAAGGGCATGCAGACACTCCAGAAGCTGAACTAGCCGCAACTAACGTTTCTCTCTGCCTCGAACGTGTAGGTGTAGAGTCCGTCAGTGTCGTTGAACACCATGTAGTTGTTCAGGGGATTGGAGCAGCTGAAAACAAAGCAAAAGAACATCTGCTCTACACCCTGCATTTCGGTACCATCTCAGATTTGTACGCTGCATTCGCAATATGTTCACACAGCAACACCACCTTGCTTATTACAAATGGCAGTTCTATTTCCCCGAAATACTGGTCTTGAAACCTCTAACCTACGCATGAAGATTGAAGAATAATATGAATAATTAAAACAGTAATTTTATTAGATGATTCGGTAATGTATCGTATCAGCCCGTCCAAGCCACAGGTTTGTGGGACGGAGCACGGCTGTTAGCTTTGTGGTGTATTTACAAGATAAACGGGTTACAGAAATCAGCCCGGTTAGAACACGGCTGCATGCTGTCGCTCGGGTAGGCAGTCAGTCAGTTCACGCGATAGTCTCGTGCGCACGCTGCACGTCAAGGCACGAGCACTGCCACAGATATAACAAGCTTCACCCTCTAGTATCAGTTTTGTTGGCGTCAAATACCGTGGAGCATCGGAACTTGGAAAATATGGAATCATTGGAAATATTTGCCCAGCAGAATGAAATAGTAATATAAAAAGTATTGCCCATTCTCAGCATATGACATTTGTGCAAAAAAAAAGCCAACCTTCATTGGCCGTAAGAAGAGGCTGATAGAAAAATGTCAAAAAGAGACTAGAAGCAACTGAATCGGAGAACAATGTGCACCCTCAGAATTACCAAATGTTATTATTCAAATCTCTCGTCCAGCAACAAATCAAGTTGGGCATTTATTTTTGGGTAAGATTTTTACAGGTTTGCCGGTGGAGTGTGATTGAAGGAAAGCTTTCCCCTGGGATGCATCCCTTATGTATGTAATTCTGGAAGCAAATGTTTTCAGGTGAGATGGAACAGCCTGCATAAAATGACACCAGGTTGTCTTTGCTTTGACATTCCATTGTTAAAGGGATAAGTTGGGCTTAGTGCTCTCTGCTTTGAGCACCCCACTCATAATCCTACTTACAGAAAAAAATAATTGAAAGAAATTAATAAACAAGTTAGTTTCTCTTTAGCTGTTTGACAAACAGCTAAAGAATACCAAACAGGACAATGAGCAACACATGAGGGGTGAAGACATTTCTTAAGAACACAAGTAGTATATTGGCATCAAAACTGGAACCCGCAATATGGACACTTCTTTAACAGTAATAATAATACTAATGTTTATTTCCATCAAGAGTTGATGCTCCCAATGACCAATTTATAAATTTTATGTGGAGTAGATGACATATTTTCGCCCCTAATTGGCGATTATTGCCCTTATGCCCAGAACGGTAAAATAATAGCCTTTTCCAAAAAAATTTATATGGAAAAAGCATCAAGCAAATCAGTCCTATACACAAACTCAATTCTCCTACGTCACGCTGCGGTGGTGGCCAATCGGGCGCACTGCCGGTCTGGGGTGGTGGGCAGAAGTCGCGGTGCGAGACATGCATTCCTGCATTCTTTTGGGAGAAATCATACAAAAAAACCTGCCTTAGCGTCGAAATGCTGCGACGGGGGCTATACCAAGAGAGTCTGGAAAGGTTTGAAGATCAGTTTTCATGTGTTTCTGCCCCCTCCGTTCGTCTGAGAACGTGGATAGTAGCCGTGACAAGGGCAAACCAGACGCTGTCGAACTACAATTGCTTGTGCAGGCAACACTTTGTGCTCGCCAGATGTAGTTGTTGTGTTCCAACATGAAAGATAGAAAACCGCCAAGTTGTCCGGACCACCCGCCGGTTCAGTGCGTCTTCAAATTCACACGGCCGCCTGATCATTCGAACTTTCGTCAGCTCTTTCGAACTTGTCTGCTTTTTGTCCTTTGCTCGTTCAAACAAAAGCGGGCCGTAGACCAAACTTTGACCCGATGATATCAATAAGTAATTGCAGGCCTCAAAAGACTTAAGTTGGCTCGGTGTAAACAGTAGATACAAGATGTTGATCATTGGTACCAGTGGCCATCACCGACTTGCGACGCTTGGTCTGTTCCCGCTTCTGATTTTCAGTATCGACGTCGATCATCGCCGCTACCTTCTACACTTTTGCAGCACGAGCGATGTTGCGACCGAAAATAGCTAGAAGAATCTCATCATGGTTTTGGCGTCCATTCTGCGGCGTTCATGCGAATGAATCGCCGCACGTCAAATTATTTACGCAATGTTTAGCAGTGTAACGAACCTTGATAATTTCGCTCAGGCGATTAAAGTGGTAAGACATTGCTATGAGGACGTAGAATCGACAATTCCAACACGAAAAAGAGTATGCAGACTCACACGGACACCGACAACGTTACATTCCAATGGTTTGTTGACACGGGATGCGGTGCTTCTTGCCCGCACTCCATTGCACATCCGTTCGAACTGTCGTCTGCTCTTTCAATCTTGTCTACTTTTTGTCGTCAGCTCGTTCAAACGACAACGGCCCGTAAACCAAACATTGACGCGGTGATTGTGATAAGAACTAAGTGCAGGCCTCAAAACACTTTTGAAGGTTGGTTGGGGTAAGTAGGCTAAGTGTAAACAGATACAAGAAGATGTTGATCATTGTTATCAGTGGCCATCACCGACTTTTAATGCCCGATTCTACTTGCGGTTTTTCAGTATCGACGTCCACCATCTCAGCTACGGTCCACGCTTTTGCAGCCCGAGCGACGTCGCGACTGAAAATAGCGAGATGAATCTCATCGTGGGAGTCGGGCTTTAGTGCCCATTCTGCGGCGTCCACGTGAAATGAATCGCCGCACGTCACATTATTCATGCAAAGTTTTGCGGTGTAACGAGCCTCGTTAATTTTGCTGAAGCCGCTCAAGTAGTCAGACATTGTTAGGAAGACGTGAAATCAACAACTCCAACGCAAAAAAGAGCACGGGGACTCATACCGACGCCGACAACAATGCAATTCAATGGTTTGTTTATGGGCGACGGCGAGCTTCTTGCCCTCCGTCCACCGCGCATGCGCGGCGCCGGTGGCGTCCGCTAGGGGCGCTCCAGTTTGTTTGTAAACATGAGTTGGTGTGTAAAAAAACAAAAAAACATGTGTTGCACACAAACTATGTCCATACCTGGTAGCAATCTTGAAGACTTCGTTAGCACAGATGGCTGCAATGACCGCATTGGTTGAAGCCACAGCCGGGATAATCCTCTTGATGACACCTGAACATAGAGACGTGTGACCAGTGACTTCCCTACACACCCCCAGGGGAGGGGTGTACACTCCCCATGTTTTTCTGAAGGCACCCCCTTAAATCACAACGACTCCCCTATTCTCAATGCCTCACCCCCCTAACCCCCCTCCCCTAAAAATTTAGACATGCCCCCTAACTTCAATTCCTGGGGAAACCCCTGCGTGTGATAGAGACGTCTCCTACTTCTCCTCTAAGTTAGGAGGCTGTACAGTAAAAGAAAGTACGCATATCCACTAAGAACTTTATAAACTCAAAACAAAAACAAAATATCCAAGAATTAAGACTAAAATAAAACCAGGCGGTTAATTTTTGTACTTTATACCGTAATATCCCGAGAGATGCCCCACCCGAGAAAGATAATTGATTTGGTATTTTCTTTTAAACACCGAAAGATACCCCACTACTAGTAATCAGTGTTCGGATCAATGATTACCTCGGCGTAAATGCGGCTAGTTAGCGGACATTGAACTGGAAATTGTGCAGCCATCTCTGCTTCGCTGTCCCTCGCCGCGATAATAAGTTTGGCGGGAAAACATGATCTAAAATTAGTGTTTTTTTAACTTCTCTTGGGTACACCCCGAAAGTTAGCCCACTCTTTATTTCACCCGATTTGCTCTCAATTTTATGTGGGCTATCTCTCGGGATATTACGGTAGGTAGAGCCCAGCATATCTGCGGATTTCCCGCGGATACCCGCAGTAAACTGTTGGATTCGGATAAAAATGAATCAGAATTGGCGGATTGCGGATCAGATGCGGATACCATAGGGCTTTGGATGCGGATATCCGCAGATCAGGATCCGTTTTTGCCAAGGAGGCCCAGAAACGTGTGCGACCGTACAGTGCAGAGTGAATAAGTGAATGACACCATGAAGTGCATCCTCGAATGTATTGCGGGGGCAAACTGATTGCTTAGATAAAAGGTGCAAATCGGGGAGAAAAATGTTCTTTGCGTCAAAAAAGATTTGATTCTCACCAAAGATCGCTTTCGAACGTTCTATATCGCCAAAACTAATGTCCCTAGAGAAAGTAAAGAATGCAGAACTACCAGTCGTCTCAAGAAGCGTGTTCTTGTTTGGCAGGGAAAGAGCAGAAAACATTCTTTGGGCAAAGAAAACCCAAAACGTACAACCCACAAAAAAGTAAAAGAAGCCTGCAAGTGGCTCCTTTGCCTACAAGTATATACTGAGGAGACTGAACTCGACCCTCTGGAGTAGTGGAATTTGTCCCAGCACGAGTTTCTGGACCTCATTCTTGTAGCGCAGTTAGTGCATACCGTCATAGCATCAAGTGCACCAACGGAGACAGACTTCTCATTAGTGGGTCTAATGACGAACCAGTCTGAATCCGTCCAAGTTGACAATATTCTGTTTCTTCTATGCAGCAACCTCGACAAGTGAAATGTTGCAGGTGTGTGTTTTCTTTTTTTCGACAGTTGGCACTTAGTTGTATATGGTTCCGAGCATGCAGTTGAGGGTTCGTGTTTAGAGCTTTAACCGACTGGAGCTGTTGCCATTACTGAATATTGTGATACTGTCCCCAGTGGTGTACTCGCGCCTTACCACACATACACAAGTATTTTTCTGCGGCAAGTGAGCACCTTTCCTCTGCCACGTTTTTATTCTTTGGTCTAAATAAACAGACACAATGTTATTGGTCTGTTCTTTGTCTATAAAATATGCGTCTGCTTCAAGTGGGTCGTACAAAGCAGAAATAAAAATAAATATAAATTTCCTTCCTTTTGAGCCAATCTTCTGAAAAGATTCTGTCACGACTCCCAAGACGTTCTAATAACTGCGATCATCTTTCGAGCGATGCAAAGTGTCTCTGGAAGGATGATGGCTTATTTTATAAATACGATCAAACAGAATATGATAAAATTAGCTTCACCATATTGTTACATGAAGAGTTCATTGTAGAAAGGTAGGGAGACAGCTTATAGAATACCATCCACATGCTTGTTTAATTTTTTTTTATTCATGTTTGATTTTATTATGTAAAATGAATGCGCAGATTAAGTCTGATGCGGTTCTGAATTTCGCGCATGCAGTTTGGATGCACATACAAAGTCTGCAGATGTGGATCGGATGCAGATACAATTATTGAAAGGGGCACTGACACCCCAAAGGTCGTATTTATTTTATTGTCTAAAACGATGCAAGTTGCAGTCATAGACACGCAAAAAACACCGCATCGCAAAAAAAAAATTTTCACGCGCGCGCGCGCGCCTTTTTATTTTTGGCGTTTGATTTTCCCGCCTCTCGCCTCCTCGCTTCTTTTGATCGGTGACGTCAAGAATCATGAAATTTAGAAGCTTTGTAGGCGACATCTCTATAACATTTAATGACGGCAATCCTAAAACATGTTTTTTAACGCAATTGCGAACGCACTACGGCCCTTCTTTTTGAAATACCAAAAATCGGGAGTTCGTTGTGGTGCCGTCTCCTGGATTTGTATCCTCCAACGGAAAACAGGCGATACCGCTCAAAACCTGTCCGCCGCAACGCCGGCGCTCGCTCCTTTCCTCCTCGCTTTGGGTAGCCATGGCAACAGCAGGGAGTGGTGAAAGAAAGGGGACTCTCAGGTCTCCGCAATTTTTGACGTCAAGGCACCGGCGCCGATTGCGCGGGAACTTCGAATTCGGCATTTGGAAATTGTTTTTTTACCTCACAAATACTGAATTCCCAAATTTCAAATTTTGAGGGTAATGTCCCGGCATCGTTTGCAATCGTTTCGGATAATTAAAAAAAAAAAAAAAAATGATTTTGATGTGTCAGTGCCCCTTTAAAAACATTGCAGATGCGGTTCGGATGCGGATCCGATGCGGATGATCAAACTGTTATCCATGCAGGGCTCTGTGTATAGGATATCTGAATACATGGTGTCTCAATGGTATGATAGCAGTTGCATCTAGAGCATAGTAATCAAACTAAGTAATTATCTGAGATTTCTTCCGTTTCTTTTTTTGTGCCTTAAAACTTACTTCATTAGTGACTTCCAGAATGCGATGTTGCCACAGAATGCTGCAGCAGCCCGTGCACATTAACAACACAATTTAGCTCAATTTGTATCAATGCTATAACTACGCTCCTCACCTTGCGTGAGCCTGTAAGTGACTCCAGCAATGTTGTATTCCTTGGCGCGCTCCAACGCCTTTTCGTGCACCCACTGCACATGGTCCGGATTGTCTCCGTCAATGAAGATGCCATCTGCAAAGCACTGCCCCTAAAACTTCCGCCTGCCTGCTACTGACAAGCTATGCTACGTGAAGTACTCGTCTGTCGGCAATCCAGCAAGGAAACCTGACCACTTCATTAGAGGGAAAGGCTCTTTACAAGCACCGCAGTCACAGTGCCTGCGAGTGCCGAATCACTGAGTAGAACTGTTGCAGTGACTGCAATAGACAGCTATTTAGGCACACTGTGGTGCGAACATTGGTGCCTCCAGCGATGTGATTGGTTCGAGTTGTTTTGGAGCACCTTTTTGGAGCAGCCAAAAGTCGATTTTAGAGCAGCAAAAAGTACTTCTGGAGCATGAGCAAACATTTCGTTTTCATTCACACCGGTGCAAATATCACGTTAAGATTTATGTGTCTATGCCTACTTTGGCTTTCTGCTTCTGTGCAGCCTTTTGATGGCATCAACAGCGCGGCAGGCTTGACTCCCTAGCTACCAGTTTGGTTGCATGTAGAAGCACAAGGCACAGTAACAAGATGCCAATTGATGAACGGTAGTACAAACTGCTGTGCATGGATATTTTAGGTATGAAATCAAACGTTAACCAAATAGTATACCGTAAAAAACTGGGCAAGTGCCCACTCAAAATTTAGAGATAATCGCGACAAAATAGGGGATGGGCACTTGTCCAATCATCAATTTTACATATAAATGTACTGCGCGTATTTCCTCAGATCTTGTAAATTTGGGTGTGGGCACTTAATGTGGAATGGGCAGATGCGCGGTATTCTACGGTAGCCCGCTGAAATAATGCCAGAACATAATTTTGAGCAATTAAATTGATGTTTCCATTAAGGGGACACACCCCCTAGGGGGGTCTACTTTTGAACCTTTGTCTTAAAATTAACGAAATTTACAGGGTAGGCTGGTGGTCATGCTAGAGGGTGTATAACAAAATTTCAGGTCTGCCGGTTAAATGAGAAGGAGATTAGAGTAGCTTCTATCAGCAACACGCCTACGTACATTGTTTAGTTACTCTATCGTCAGAAAACTATCACAATATTAAAGATTTTTATTTGCTAGATATGTAGAAGGATGCCTAGAGGGTGCGGCTATCGAACGTTTTTAGGGACGAAGCTCCTAAGGGGCTAGCCATGTCCGTATGTCCGTCCGATGTCCGGCGTCGGGTGCTCGTGCTCACAAGCATGTGAGCACGTGCTCTCGTGCTCGTGTAGGGAAAAAAAAAACTCATCTCCACGTGGTGAATGATGTTGATTGGGGCGAAGCTCTGGTGGTGCTTGTCTGCATAGACGCTGAGCCGCAGCATGCCGAGCCTTTCGTTCGTTTTCATTCATGCCAGAAAGAGAATGTGTGGTATGGAACGTGGTTATATATGCACCACCAGAGCTTCGCCCCAATCAACATCATTCACCACGTGGAGATGCGGTTGTTTTTTTAAGCTTGAATCGGTCGTAGTATGCGACAAACACCACAGCGGAGGTGGCCGCAGTACATGGCTCACTGATACGTAAACATTAGACTTTATCTCAGTTTCGCTTGACATATAATAAACTCATTTCGGAAAAAAAAAAAAAAAAAAGAAAACAAAAACTATCTGTGATTTTGTAAAAAATATAATCACATGGCCTACAAATCAACCAGCGCACTTTTTGATCTTTTACCATGTGCAACGGTTCCCGGACATTTCATCGAACGCCGTTTCGTCGAACGCCTTTTCATAAAAAAGATGGACGTTTCATCGAACACCGTTTCATCGAATTGCTGACGGCTGTTTCATCGAATGTCTTTTTTATAAAAAGTGTGAAAGGCGCTCTTTTATGCACAAATCAAGTGCATTTTCGTGTCATTCACCCATTTCATCGTCAGGTGTTTTAATGTCCAAACTTGTAGCTGTTACAATTTATTTTGATGCAAGTAACCCATGAGGATATTTGTACAGATTTTTATGTTTGTTTCGCATATTGTGCTTCTCTGTTCACCCCCTCTGTATTACCCGATGGGCCTTGAGGGTATTGTAACAAATAAATAAAAAGTCACACTCCCGGTAAGAGCGCACTCCAACTCATGGAGGCCAGAAGGCGACTTAGGTTTTGCGCAGGCGCAACAACTTTAGCCATGTGAGCCTCCTAGCCTCTCATGTCTTTCTATTGATACATTTTACTGCCCGAAGCTTGCAGTAGCTAAAGCTGAGGTGCTACTTATGAAACTACAACGAAACACTGTTTTTTTTTTTTTTTTTCTAAAAAGTTATTTATTTTTATAATTTTTCTCTTTTGCAAAATTGGTAAACTTTTTAGTCTTCTGTATCTTCGACAAAATGTCAACATTTTTTATAAAAGACATCCGTAAAGTGAAAAAAAAAAAGTTCCATAGTCGCATTCCTTATTAAATTTCAGTCAGGAAAAGGGAAGAATGAGCCTTCCCTGTTTTGCCATTATCAAACGATAGATTGACTAAAATGGAATTTATACCAAAAAGTGGAACAGAGAAAAATGCATTCAAAGTGCTCCAAACCCTGTTTTCTTTAGCTTTGGTGGACTGAAAATAATTTATAAAAAAATAACTATTCAGTGAAAATTAATTAAACTTTTCAAGAATACTCTCTAGATGTTGGTGGATATAAATATGTCATTTTTCAAAATCAACTTTTTTTGCAGAAGTTTTTTTTCTGGGCAGTGTCTCCCCTTAAGTTCTAAGGGTTGTAAGTAAGACTGCAGTTCGTGATTTAGATAAAATACAAAGCTTTTGTTATTTCATTATGAAGATTTATTAAAAATTATAAGCAGAACAAAATTATAAAAAAGATGAGCCTGTGAACAATAATTAAGCTTTATTTAAAAGAAACAAAAACAAACAATCTCGCTGAGCTTGTTCAGGTTATACCCAGGCTTGCATTAACTGCTCCAGCTAATTTAGTTTTAATTTTTTGTATTCACTGTGTTCTAGAACAGATGGAACTTATATAGAAGTCACAACTAAACGATAGTTGTCATAAGAAATAAACAAATAAAGAAGATCATAAAAGTTCTGTGTGAAAAAATGTCAAAAAGATGTCATCAGAACATCGCAGTCTATCATTTATACACTAGCCACACTATTTTCAGAAACCACTTTAGCAGGGTAAGTGCTTTGGCGCAGTTAGGCACAATTTGTGCCAAAATGCAACAAAGCACTTACCGTGGCAAATGGCGCAGCAAACACGTCACTGCGCATTGTGTAAGACAGTTATGGGGGCGGACACTACCCAGAAAACAAATTTCCTGCAATAAAGTTTGATTTTGAAAAATGCCGTATTTACATCCACCAACATCTAGAGAGTGTTCACAGACTATTTCATTACTTTACACTGCATAGTTATTTCTTTTACATCAAACTATGTCGTTCTCCACGCTTTGCAGAGGGTGCAAAGTTGGGAGGTCGACGTCACAAAAACTAGGTCACAAAAGTGACGTCACACAGAAACGCTGGAGCACCGACCGAATTGCATCACCGCGCTCCCCAACGATGTTAGCTCTCCGACGGCGCGCAGGCTGTTGTCGAGAGCCACACACACCCCGCGTCCTTTCTTATCTGCTGGCTTGCTCGTTTGCTCGCTTCAAGGCGACACACTCCTCTCCGATTGAAATGGTGACAGACGCCACTCCGGCAGCCATGATTCCGCAATCTTCACTCACTACTCTGGACAGCAGCCGAGCGGCCGAACTTGCGTGCTGTGCGGCACGGTCAATTTACGCCACTCTCTCGCACGACTCAGCAAAGCGTTAAAAACAATTGCCGGCAATTCCGTAAATGCGCCTCAGAATGGTGGCGTGGGGCTGCACATTTGGCTTTACAGTTACTCCGAGCCACGGGCATTCGCTCCCTGCGCACCCGACATTGTCGGGCGGCAGAGGCCAGTGGATTTTTCTTCAGCTGTGGCCATAGTTCTACGGAAATTTATGCAGCATAGTAAACCTACACCCTGACCAATTTTTTGTATTTTATAAATTATTTTTGGTCCATTGATGCTAAAGAAAAGGTAGAGGTAGGAGCACTTTGAACACTTTTTTTCTCTGTTCCACTTTTTGGCACAAATTTCACTTACAGCATTACACTGAAACCAGTTTAGAACGAACCCACTTAAGCGAATTATTCTCGATATCGAACTCCCGGAAAATTTAAATAAAAATGGATGCAAAAGTAAGTTCTATAACGAACAACATATTGGCTATATCGAACTTTTTCCCCCGGGAAGGCTTACAAAAATGCACAAACAATCGTCTTCTAGCCTGTCCCTTTTCCACAAAAAAAAGTAAGAAAGAAAGAAAATTCCTAACGCTCAAGTTGCGAACAATATTGAGCGAAGAGAAGCGATTCAAAAGGGGAGTAAGCTAAAAAATACACTCCGCACGCACGCATAAAAAAAACAAAAAACTTGTCATTCCAAAACTATTGCCCACGAAGAGAAGCGATTCAGAATTAGAGGTAAGCTAAAAACAAACTCTGCACGCATATAAAAAAAAAAAAAAAAAAATCTTTTTAGGGCGTTGTTACAAGGCGGACGCGAGGACATGAGCAAGAAAGAAAAGCTCTCGGCTTACAACGAACGCATCGTGGAAGTTCGTTATAAATAGTTTGTGCTATATCGAATTACTTGCTATATTGAACTCATCGTAGCGTTTCCCGCTGTTCGTTATAAACGGGTTTGACTGTACATTAGTCTTCTAACGATGGTTTTTCTAGAAGTCGGTGTGTTCCCGATAAAAACAACCATAATTTATTTTACAATTCATGTATGTAGATGAAACTTTGCACTGAATTCTGCCGCAAAACTGCCAGTATATACCATACATTTTATTCGTATAAAGCCACAGGTGCAAAAGTTCCTTTTTGGGTAGTGTCCCCCCTTAAAGGGATGCTGAACTAAATATTTTAGTGTCTATAAAAATCTTCCCATGGGCCAGCAGCCGCCGGTGTGCGCGAGCCCATGGAACGAAATTTATGTCATAGTCCCCCGTTCACGCTTAAGATGACAGTGAAATGTATTTTCTGGAATGGGCAAAAAGATAATAAAAAAAGCCTTTTCATCTCCACAGTGGGGTCTGGTGTAAAATGTAAGCGATTAATTGGTTTAACAAGCACATAGCTTTCACTTGTGGAAATGAAAAGCCCGTCTTTATTCTCCTTTGGCCTGAAGCCCATTCATTTCGCTGTCATCTTAAGTGTGAATAGGGGACTATCACATCAATTTCGTTGAGTGTGCTTGCGCACACCAGCGGCTGCTGGCTCGTGGAAAGAATGTGGGCTACTTAACATGGACACTAAATTGTTTGGTTCAGTATTCCTTTAAAGAAGACACAGTCTAACCAACTGTACAGCCAGAACAGTGGGACATTGTTAGAAGCGGGCAGGAACAAACTTGTCGCCTCTGGTCGAGGAAAACACGCACCTCCAAAGGGCTGCTCCTTGGGCCACAGGAGTATCCTCGCGTACTCCACGCAGTGCTCGGGAAGCCTCGGCGTGTGGGCAATCGTGCACAGGGGGAAGTTCACCTGCACACGCACGCACAAACACAAAGCTAGTCTCCATCAAAGCTGCATAACTGTTTTCTTTATTTTTATTTCGTCGGAAAGGCAAATTGACAAACGGGTGACGGCCTTATGGACCTTGGCCCAGTTTCACGCGACAGAATCGATGCCTACGTTGTTTTATACAATAAAAATGTTCTCCCAAAACAATCCAAATTTGGAGGATAGAGGTGAGGTATGAATTCTCGCGAGTCATCACTTGGGCCGTAAGTATACAAAGAAAAGTACCATAATATGTATTCTGCTTCCATGCCCACTCCAGAAAAAATAAATAGAACAAAGAAATAATAAAGGAAGGTGAATGCTGTTTCGGTGCCTAACCAAAAACATTTAGGGAAAAAACAAAAGAATGTCAAAGCCAAACCAAACATAAAAGTTATTGAAGAAAGAATGTAACTCCAGTCAATACATTCACTGCCACATCACTCGCTGAAGAAATGGGAATGGTACACTGTCATCTCTATCAGGTTGGCAAAATAGTGGAATTGCTGGAAGCGCAGTGAAGCAGATCGTTTGTATTCCTCAATCCCACCTTGACAAAACATTCCTATACCAGACAAAGCGGAAGAATGTCTCACAGGCCTGAAATCATTAGAATTTCCAAAAGGAAGAATCACACTTGTATCTAATGCCATCACAAAGCAAGCAAAAGTGCAAACTTAGCGATTGCACGCACTAGCCTTAGGAATGATGTAGTGCACGTGCGTTCGTCAACGCTTTATTTTGGCTATTTGCTTCGAATCTTTTATACGAGGAAGGTGTACGCGTCTGGCGCGTGGAACACCGATTCCTGCATTCTCCTTGATGTATAGGTAATTTAGCAATAGGTCTATTGGGCAGGCATTATTAGTAAAAAGGAGGCTAGGAATAACCCTATACTACAAAACACAAATTTGGCCCAGTCGTTACTTGTATCACTCTCAAATATCCCAGCAAAAGTAACAGGTGAAGACTACAATAAAATATCAAGAATTTTTCCATGTCACAAATTAATAGACCCCTTCAAAAATTATGCCCTCTTACGGTACATGTGAAAATACTGCACAGTGGCAAGTTGGCAAGTCTGACTATGAAACTCACTTTCAACAGACTGCATACAGTTGATGGACCTGCAATTTTTGTGGTGTCTTTCGCGCACGCCACTTTGCGGTATCTTCAGATGTACCGTAAGAGGGCATAATGTTTTTAAGAGGCCTATAAGTGCCCAGCCACTACTTTTAAAATGCCCGAAAACTAAGCGAAGAATATATCAGGTGCCCACCCCAGACTTCTGAGCCCACCTGGCTATAATCAAGGTGTTCCTTGTTAGCCACTTCTCCAAGCACGCTAGTGCAATGCAGTGAAGCCCACCCTATCATGCGCCCCTTCTGTATTTCTGCTCTTGGACCGCAGAACCCAGGGATCCATTCCCATCCTTCCCCGTTTCGATCTGGATGAGCATCTTAACGGCGTGCGGTGGTGTAAGTACTGCAAGCTGCACATTAAAGACACCAGGCTAGCACTCACACTGCACTGGCTAAATTTCTCATATACAGCGTAAATTAGTTAAAACAGTGTTGCCGTATGAACATACTAAACATCCTTTTTTTTTTTTTTTTTTTGCTTTTAGGTTAAACAGGTGCTTATTCCCAAGTTCTTCAAGACTACCTCAGAGTTTTTCAAAACTATTTTATAATTTTGGGTGGGCACTTGCTCGGCATTGTACGGTCGTCAAAAGACAAAACTTCCCCAGCTGGCATTGCTATGTCTTCTCATGTAGGAAACTACTTCAAACAGCTGGACGCTGCATGGACGTTGTATCCATTGTTTTTTCTACCCCATTCCCGAAAAGAATAGCTATTTAGCTTGCAAACGCTTAACAAACACGCTAGCGAGCTCACAGACATTGTGGTCTAGTACCATCAGACGCCTGCAAACTATGCTAGCTGACGCCAGCGGGTTTCAGCCATCAAAGACGAACAGGTGGATGTTGAGCATCATCTGGTTCCACACCTGAGGGGGGTAGAGGTCGAGGGTGCACTCTACGCAGGCGGTCATGCCGGGTAGGATGACCCTGGCATTGCCCTTGAATCCCTCAGTGCCTCCATCCACCATGGGCACAATGGACTGCTGGTCCAGCATGCCGTCGTCGTAGTTCAGGAGACTCAGCTGCGAAAAGGAAACCAGCATGGATGGATGAATGCATTTGGCTAAACCCGTTTAATCGGATGGCAGCTAGCGCCACCTGGCAGGAGTTTCTCGCAGCAACAGTTAACTTCCACATCAGGGGACTTCAAGCTTTTCGATCTCGAGGAGCCCCTGCTTGCCTTGGATGGCAGCTGAGGAACCCTGCCTTGGCATCGATTCAGCGAAGCAGTACAGCAGCCTACGAGTCTTCTAAACAAATAATGCACGCACTAGGGAGTGTTTGACACATGTATCAGCGAGTGGCTCAAGACTGCGGAAGTAGTGCTGAAACAGGAAAACCACCTTACTTAGAGGCAGGCATGGTCGAGAAAATTTTGGGGCTTGGGGAACTCCTGAGGATAGTTTGGGGATCAACTGGTTTCCTTGGAATCCAGTTTGAGAACCCATGCCCTATACAAAACACTAAGGTTAAGCCTTTTAGTAGTGACACTGCCAATACCAGATGACTGGGGAAAGCAGCGTGTTGCACTACTCAGAAGATTACCTAAACCTAATTAACCAATCTAAACAACTTATAGCACATTCCCAATACAGTCTTGGGTAGTATCAAATTACTAGTACCATAATACTGTAACTTGCTTTTTTTTTTGTTCTTTTTTTTCAGTCAATTGCAGAGGCGTTGGATCTATTCAGGAGATGGGGGGCACAGTGGTCATGATGGGGGTGCGATGGCAATTTTGCGCCCCCTCCCTCGTATTGTTTCCATCAAATTTCTAAACTGTTTGAGGGGGGAGAGGGGAGGAAGGGTAGGGGGAAGGGCTACCACCCCCCCTTCCCAGACATTAATTACTTTTTGTAAAAGTAACTAGGAAGTTATGGCAAAGATACAGTTACCTGTCAGAAAAAGGGGCCCTATTTTTTTAAGACTGCAGTGGGCTTGAGCCTATGAAGACATTGGGCCCGACAGCAGAAGCGAAACATAAAACAAGAAATGAAGAGTTTTTGCCTTCACTACAAAGCGCTGCCGTGGATGGAAGACACCTTTCTACTTCCCTCTTCCTTTCTTTTATAACGCGGGTAAAGGCATTTTGTTTTGTTTCAAACAGTTGCGCACGTCTCTCTCGCTCAGTGTTTGCCCTTTCCGACCTCCTCGAAACACCCCCGCCTTTCCAAAAACCGACAAAGCCGACTTGCAGAGACGCACAACGGTCAACTGCTCAGCATCTGACGAGGGGTCGAGGATCTCTTCGGTCGCGAGGCTACACTTTTGTTTACACTCGAAGCTGCGAAGCACCTGCCTTGAGGCTAGTCTTTACGCTCTCTTTACGAAAGCGAGCCGCAGATTACATTTCTATTGGCCACCTTGCCCTCTTTCAGGGGCCGTGGGCGCAAGGTTGACTTTTGTGCTCGGCACTGGATAGAATAAACTCAAAAGAAAAATTGGAACACATTTTTAAACAACTTTGTGCTGTTTTTGTTCATTTCTTTCTACAACTTTGTTTGATACTAACTGTCTTTTGCATCGCCCCGTCCCAAATTGTCTGGCTACTTGATCCGCACCCTATTCTTGTTATAAACCAAACTGTTTGTTCATATATAAAAAAAAAATGAGTAAAAAGAGAAGGAGAGAGGAAGAGATACGAGTAGAAAGAGAAATAATTCGATAGAAAGTTAGAAACTGATCGTTCAAAAGAGATGTCATGAAAAATAAAAACACTGTAAAAGAGCATGCGGCCTGGCAGCCCTAATTCAATCTTTTCCAAGCACCTTCAGGCAAGTTTTGAACCGTATTTCTGGACAGTAGCACTAGGCTGCATTGCATTGCTTTTTTTTTATACATTTTATACACTCCTATAAAGAATACGAGCTTATCTTGAAAGCAACTAGGTTACTCTGCCAAAGTAACAGCAACCGTAATGTGCTATTTTTTTTTTGTTTAAGTACGGTAACTTTAACTGAACTAAATGTTGGGCAACTATCTGTAACTGTAAATAATAGGGAGTTTTAGAATAATGTATGCAATTCTAGCGCACGCTAAGCACTAAATTTAGTGTTTGCATTAGCGCCAGACTTGTACACGTTACTGAAAAAAGTAACCGATTACAATTACAATTATTTCACTGTAAAAAGTAACCGATTACAATTACAATTACAGCCTCAAAAAGTCAAAAGTCAAATTTGGGGGTTTTACGTGCCAAAGCAACGACGAGCATCTGGCACGCCCCAGCGGAGGACTGAGGATTAATTTGGACTACCTGGGGATCTTTTGACGTGCAACCGAAAGCTCGGTTACACGGCGCCTTCTCCGCAATAAGCCTCCGTCAGATTGCGGGCACCTCGGCCGGGATTCGAACCCACCACATGGGGATCCGTAGGCCAGCGCTCTCGCCTCAAAACCACCAAAGCAACTGCCTCAAAAAAAAAAAAAAAATCGAAAAAATTACTTTAAAGTAATCAATTACTACCCATGTTACTTTTCATTCAACTTTTTTTTATTACGGTAGCATATCGTTTAAGATCTCGCGCTCAATTGTTTCAAAGAAAAAAAAAAAAGCCTCGATTGGTTTTGCGTAGATTAGAGTAAGTGACGCCAACATACCCCATCCCTCTCGTGAAAAAAATCAATAAAAAGAGCGCTGTTTAAATACATTACTCACAAGAGGCTCGATCAGGTCATTTTTCATACCCAATTGTAATCTCCGGTGTAACAAAAAAAAAATGTACCCAGGAAACGAACCATAGTAAAGTGGCCTAGTAATCCTTGAGGTCCCATGCTTCGTGGTTTTGAGAAAGAAAAAGAAAATTTACTGTCGCCAAGAGCTGAGGGACTCCAGCACATCTACCCCACCCCCCCTCCCCTATCTAAAAAAAAAAAAAATAAACAAAATTTGTAATTGGTGATTTTGTAATCGATTCCAGCAAAAAAGTAATTCAATTACAAGGATTTGTGTCTCATTTAATGAAGCATTATAAAATTACAGTAAAATGTAATCATTACAAGTAATTTATTACTTCTAACGCGTTACGTACAGGTCTGGTTAGTGCAAGAGTTTTAGAATGGCGTTTCTCTGCTGCGATGCAAAAGCCCAAGCACGTCACACTTGCAACTCCACCGTGATACAGTCACAAATTTTATTTTGCACACAAAATGCTGTCACTTAAAAAAAAAAAAAGTTTTTTGGTCCAGAGTAACATTTTAGATTTGTTTAAATATGAGAATGCAGCACAAGCGATGAACCAGTCGTGTATGCTTGTGTCACTTCGGCAAGAAAGGTCTTGTGCACCAATCTTCACACACCGCACCTTCACTGAGAAATATTTGCACGTCGCAAGTATCAAGTTGCCGGCGATCGTCGCCCACCTTAAGGCCTGTCCAAACAGGATGCTAGAAAGATTGTGAGGCGATACGACTCCGACATAAATCGTCCGGCGCTTCGCTTCAGTCAGTTTTTTTTGCCGGGGGAAAGTTCCCTCCGTCAAAGGTCACCCGTGGATTTCACGGGGGCCTTGAGCATGCTCGTCACGTCGGTCCGGAGAGCCACTAACAAGCTCTGTTGGCTGTCGGACAATCGCTCCACGCCTCCGCTGCTCTTCAGGTACAGAAAATGGGAAAGGGAAAGGCTGTGTTCAAAGTCTTACCCGAATAGATCAGAGTTACTTTGGCAAGTCGTGTCACGTGATAACACAAATAGAGCGACGTTAGATGCAGGTACGTTCTTGAACGAAAAGGTACAAAACCCTTACCCTGGAGCAAGATTGAGTAAATTTTGGAACACGCCAAGGATTCGAGTGAATGGCCGAAGAGATGGACTGCACCGGCAGATGGCATGTGAAGTCAAGTCTGACGAGAACCGAGGCCACCGAAAAGCCGAGGAAGCGAGGAGGAAAATCATGATGTTCGCTTTGCCGGCGTCCAAACAGACGTCAGACGCTTCGATTTACACGATTTATGTTGGAGTCTTGTCACCTTACGATTTTCGGGGTATCCTGTTTGGACAGTCTTTTACTGGGTCTTCCAAACAGAGTGCAAAAATCACAGTCGCAAGAATGTCATTGACGTCTTGCTCGCGATGCTGCCAAAGCGGCCGCAGCCACGGTCCTTTTTAACCGTGCTCGTCTTGGCTTTAGCCAACTTCTCATCACGAATCCTCCTTGGAGGAGCGCAAAAGACTCTTCGCATATGCATTTAATTTCCGAAAAATAGCGCATGCACAGTGTGCTTAGCATTCGGCGCACGCTCAGTGGCGACGACGTCATTCTTCATGTACGCAAAGTTTTAGCGCGCGCTATTCTAAAACTGCCTAACAACTTTTAAAAAGTAACATACCTAAAACTGCCAATACGTCTTGTTTCAGTTAGATCATATTCGTCAGGTTGGAATTCCATCGTGCAGGGCTAACGCTTTCCTCCAGTCCTTTTTACAGTGCACGTCCGAAGAATGCAACTCTCTGCCTGCATTAACATCTTCGGTCACAGACCAACAATTCGAGAATGTCTTCCCCAACGCTTGTATAACAATTAACCATTTTAATTACCGTACCGCTGATAACTGAGCTCTTATTTTATCTCTTCGTTATATCTACTCCCCTGTGTATGGCTTTAGGTCCCGAGCGTATGCTTTATAAATACCTTCATGGCAGCATAGAAGGCACGGTCTCAAGCCTGGTCTCCGCAGTATCTACAAGCACCACTGAGCGGAATGTTCCAGCCGATACCTCGAAGTGTGTCCAACATTTCAATTCGCACAGTCTGTTGTTGTGTTAGAAAATGTAACGCAGGCTTACCAGCATGCCGTTGGCCCAACGCCTCGCCACCACAGAATCCAGGCCACAGACTACAATGTGAAATTCTGAAGTACAAAAAAAAAATTAATTTAAGACCCCTTCTTTTCTTTTAGAACATACTATTTAATATTACTATAAAAATTAATAAATAAGCACTCAGTCTCAGTCCAGTCAAATTTGTAGTGTGAAGGTTTAAGCCAGAGAAAGTCAGTCCATAGACAAAAGAAACGGACAGAAGGACAACACAGACAAAGAGCACGTTGAAGGTTGAAAGCAGTGTAGTCAGCCCTGTAATTCCGTCCACTTTCGTTCATGCATGACCCATTAACCAACACAAACACCACTGCAAATTATCCGGCCTCGTGTTTGGACCACTTCAATCAGTGTGAGTTGAAAAAGCACGGTGAGGTTTAGTTTCTTACGCAGCAGTGCTGGATTTATATAAAAACGCGAACCGACAGAGCACACAATAGGTTTCCAGATCCGAGATTCGACCGTCACCATCTATGACCGGTAACAACATAGCCCATAGGCAGCCGTGGTCCTGTTACTTTGCCAGTTCACGCTGTGCTTCATTTTTCCCGAGTCGGGTAACACTGATGGTCGGTGGTGTAGCGAGCAACCAAAAGAAGCACGGAAGAAACCAAATCGTCTTAGAGGCAGAACTTGTCAATTCAAGTTTAAGATTTATGACGGTATGCATGCAGATTACTATACTTCAGCTCACGACGACATACAAAAACTGCAAAGGCTATAAGCACAAGCGGGTAGCTTGGCACGCTCAAACGCAGTGAGCTCACACTCATAGTTTTTGCAGTAAATTTACGTTAAACTGAGAAAAAGTATGTTACTACAGCATTTGGATGGAGAGTATTTCGGTACTCTCAATGGTTACAAGCCACTGCGATAGACAACGGAGCCAGTTCTCCATTTTCACTCCCGGCAAAAATGGAAGACTGCTTGCCCAAAATGTCGAGCGTCTTCGTGCTGCAACCTCCAACGCCAGCGTTTTGCGCGCATTCTTTAACGGCTTCGGACGCGTTATTGGTGATGCCGAATTAGAGGTCGGCTATTGATATCGTCTTTCAAAATGCTGGGAAAGCTCCGAAGCCAATCTGAACATATGACAGGATATTGAGGCAAGTATGGACCTCTCTCCAGTTCTCTCATAGGCTCCACGTTCTCTCTGATCGGTTCAACTCTGGCGTGCCTCCGATAGTTCACCCTGTCCTGAGGGAAGGCTCTACCACGGTGCGGTGCAAGTTTCCAGACAAGAGGCATCTATGAACTAGTATGGTAATACAAAATGTCCCAGAAAAAAACTTGCGTTTCCTTCGCTGCAAAAATGAAGTGTCGTAAAGTTCTGCATAATTGCCCGCCCCCAAGAGATCGACCGCCCCACTTGCAAGGGCAAACATCTACGACATGAAAATTCCAAAACGTCGCCCGCCCCCCCGATTCCCACCGGATGTCGATCACGCAATGTCCGACGGGAATTGCATCGACCCTCGCAAATTCTGAGAGGCGCCTTTGCAGTCGGTTTTCTCGTGTTTATGTTTATCGCGGCGTGACACGCGAATATGCTGCGTCCGCAATCTGCGGTATTCGTTCCCGCGACATGCGAGTTTTTAGCTGGTTCCAGCATTGTTCTGTCCGCGATATCGGTTCCCCTGATACGCGAGTTCGTAGCGGGTTCTCGAGTGCTTATCACACCATGCAACGAAAATCTGCCACATCCGCGGTTGGTGGCGTCGGTTACAGTTTCACGCAGTTCCTAGCAGGGCCCCAGGGTGTACCGTTCATTTTTTTTTTACGAAATTTTGCAGTCACATTTTATATTTCAACATTTATTTCTTCATTTTGGGCAAGCATTCTTTTGGGACTTTACATTATGCATCGCCAAATGCTCAGACTCTTCCAAAACGTCGCGCTGGTGGTCCAGGCCCGATGCCAAAATTTCAGAGCTTGACGTTACCTAATTTAGAAGATATGAGCATTTTTCGAAGATTTTTAATGGGAAAATGGTGACAGAAAAAATGACCGCATCTGCACGTGGTGAATGATGTTGATTGGGGCGAAGCTCTGGTGGCGCTGATGATACTGATTTTATTGTTCATAGGTAGTGCTGATTTTTTTTTATTGCTCATAGGTAGTGCTGAGTTCCGGGTTGCATTTCGACTTCATTATTACTGCTTTATGGTCGGTGAAATGCAGAGCCAGTGGTCCTTCTAGCGGATCAGCTTGGATCCGCTAAAAGCCGTGGGAATGCATCTCCACCACTTAAGTCAACGGTCCATGTCAGAAAGAGAATGTGTGGTATGGAACATGGTTATGTACGCATTTGAGCATTTGACCGCAAAGCCCTCTTGTCTATAAACGTTGAGCCAATGTATGCAAAGTTTAACGCGATTATATACGCATTTGACTGCAGCGCCCTCTCCTGTATAGACGTTGAGCGGCTACATGCAACGTTTCATCCATGACAGAAACCCCAGCTCTTGAGTTACTACCATATCTCAGAGCCCCCTACTCATTCCGCAGTCATGGCCGAGTGGTTAAGGCGATGGACTAGAAATCCATTGGGGTCTCCCCGCACAGGTTCGAATCCTGTCGACTGCGCAAACATTTTTTCTTTTTATGCGAGCACGGATGCCGGCCGGCCGGACGGACGGGCAAGGCTAGACCCTAAGGAGCTTCGCCCCTAAAAAGCCCACAAATATATGGGGATGAATAGCGTCGACTACCGGGAGCGGGCCCCACCTTCCCATCAAACTTTCAGCAAATCACTTATCCTTTTTTAGCAACAGTTAGTTCTGAAACTCTCTGGTCCAGACCACTAGTGCTACATATGGGCTGAGACTGAGCATTCGGCAAGTGAAACACTTTTTGGTTAGTTGTTTAGCATTTTGTGAAGCCTGATAAGCATGGCCACAAAGTTCGATGCTCATTGGTTAACGGGGGAGGCCATGTGACCAGAGCGGTAGGCGAGGAGGAGGAGCTCCAGAGTATGGAGGGCTCCGGAAGACTGCAAGGTTTATCGGCCCAATTAGCGGTAGTATCGCCTCATTCTAGGGACAACTATCAAGAGTATTCACGGTACGCGTAAACTATACGATGAGGAGCGCCGTGATTGTAGGCGTCTCGTCTGGTGTCTGGAAACTCAGGGTATCGCTAAATGTTTGTGCTGCTATTACGTTTCACGTATGCAACACAATTGCCTAGAAATTTGCCCTACATTTTTTACTTGCTGTACTTGGGCATTTGCCGACTGAAACGGCACCTGATCGAAATTAACGTGCATCCTACAGTGCAAATCTTACTTCGGTAGAAACTTTCGTCATAATCTTGAATCTTCTTGAAATGTCTGTGCATGAATCCATGTAAAAAGACTTAGTCAAGGAACCCGCCGAAACAAAAGGACAGCCGACAAGAAATGTGTAGCAGGGTTCAACATCCTCGTATGTTTATGGGCACACCAGGTGGCGGTTTGGACAATGAGCGTCTTTGTGCCATATACCACCATGGAAAAAATAAAGCGTCTCTGGTTTCAAAGGTCAAACAACTTGCAGTAGCAATCTGTTGTGACTATGTCACTTTGAATAAGAACCACTGAAATGAGGCCAGGTCCTGGTTCCTAGTGAATAACCACAGCGAATAATTCACATAATTATGAAAGGAACAGTAGTAAACAATAGGCCAGGTGTTTAAACGAGTGGTTGCCAAACTCAGGATTGATAATATGAATGTCCCCATCCTAAGCTGTCGTCAAAACATCAACCCCTTGTGGAATTCCCGTGACAGCCACGACGTACGAGATTGTTGAAAACCCACACGACACAGGGTATGTGACATGGAAAATTTTCATGTCATGCAACTCCTGAATGCATGAATTAGCACTTTAATTTTGCTCATGGCAAAGAGAAGATATTCATCTAGTTTTGGCTGGGAAGTGGCTCTTTTAAATGTAATTTTCTTTTAGTGAACAAAATACTGTGGACATCTTCTAGTGCTTGAGGGCCAAATACTTTGTGAATTGGGTATGAGATATGTTATTGAATACAATGCTGGAATATAGTTTTCTGCAAAATTTTGGATTACACATACAGTAGAAACATGTTGTGTATTCTTACAAACACATCTGTAAACTACACATTTCAATTAAAAAATGTCACGCAGTCTTCTACTACACAACAGCTTTTTCTTCCCAGCAAAAAATAGTGCTCCAAAGTTTTACTGGAGTAAGAATCTATAAAAAGTTGACCGATGAGCTATACAATTAGCGAATTTCAAGAGGAACGTTTGCAATTCTGAGCTCTTACAACAAAAAAATAAATTGGAAATTGTATGCTGCAAAAGTTTGTAGTCGAAGGATACGGAGTAACTTGACATCCGGGAACCCGCTGGTTGATGAAGGCTGCCGCCACTTCTGCTTTGGACTTCCCAATGTCACCCTTCCTGAAACAACATTAATTGACAGGTGGCTTCTAACTCCATTTCCACAAGACCAAGTGCCACTTCTACAATGAAACAACAAGGTTTCAAGGTACAGTCTCCTGCAATATGAAAGACCCACTAGGAGCGCATGCCAAGATGGTGACTGGCAAAGGCGCTGTGCGTGCTCCGGGCGATTCCATTCTACCCCGAGGGGAGGACTCACTCGGGGCTCAGCGAAAGCGCAACATGCGCTTAACAGTTTTGGTTTCGTGGCGGAAAGCTGTTTGTCAGCGTCGTGCCACGGCTATGTCTTTCTAACGCCACAATTGCTGTCTGAGAGAGGGCAGCCTGAGCCAAGGCGATTGTCCTGACTCTGTTAAAGCGTGAGATTTCTGACATTTTTCTAACCAATGAATGTGCTCTTCAACAAATTTTATCTCTTAAATATAGTACTCAGGTATAACTTCAATGTTTGGTTATTTAACAGTGCCGGTTCTGACATTTTACTTCAGAAACAACCGATAAAAACCAGCGATGACTAGCTTGTTTCGAGCCTTTGTAAGCATATTTCTGGGCATGACGGCGACGAAGAGCGCTCTTCCGCTAAATTGAAACCAAAAGCGTGTTTAGGCCCGGTTAAACCTCATGTCAGTGTCCTTCCCACAAAGCACAATGGAATCGCCTGAAGCGCACGCCGCACCTCCGCCCGTCGCCATCTCGGCCATGCGCTCCCAGTGGGTATTTCATACAGCAGGAGACTGTAGCTCCACGCACCTGAATAGAAATTGCCGATTAAGGTTTGACAGATCAATTGTATCCATGTCGATGACATCTATCTTCCGGAAACCCATCATTGCCTGAAACAGAACATTGTCATCAAGACTCTCAAGCCCAGAAGCAAAATGTTGTCTTTGAAAAAACTGTCAGTCCCTGGGTCCTTGAGAAAAACGTCTTTCGCAAGGACTATCAAGACCTGCTGCCAGAGCACAGGTGACATCAGTGACAATTTACAACTTTGAAAGGCACATAAAAAAGAATACGCCCAGTACTGTCGGGGAAAAACGAAATACGAACAGAGGAGCACGTGGCTCTTGGTACAGGTTGCACCGCCTGAAAGTGAGCCTAGGGCCGAGAATATGCGGCCTACTCCGATTTGTGTACGCCCGTCGCTCAGCACCTCCCGAGCTTCGGCGTTGCGCCTCTTGGTGCGCTGAAAGCTATCACCGCGATCGTTGCGAGTCCCGTCTGCGTGTTTCTTCTCCTTCATCCGTGTTTGTTTGCGCTGTTTTTACATTATGATCAACGAATACCAACTAGCCCAACTCTCGACATTAATCACCCTCGACTGTAATTTTTTGACGCTTTCTGAAATCGTTATCGTCATCCGAGCAAAGCCCACTGACCAAATCTTTAAGAAGTTCGCAGCCGAGTCCACCAGCTCCGATGACTAGGACTTTGCAAGTGCTCCGCAGAAACTCCAGTACCTAAAAAGAAGCGCACATTATTGTCATTACATTTATCAGGGCAAACTTGGACTACGGCAACGGAGCGCGGGGCGGTCGACCGCGTCGAGCAAAAAACGTTGCTCACTGCTGGGCCTGGTTCGAAGTCCGGGTGGGCGAAGGGGCCGTGCCTGTGCAGTATCTTCTCCAAGTGGGTCCATCGCTTGGGCCAGTCCGCACTTGAAAAACGCGCAGCAGTTTCGTTGGGAAACAAAGTTGACAACTCGGCGGGACAACACGCGAGCCATTAAAATGAAGAGACTGCGAAGCGGACTAAGCGCTGCGTTTGATCCGAAACGGGGACCGGTCGTGCTCCCCTGGTGCCCGTTTCCTAGCACTGCTCCCCGGTTCAGAGACAGACATAAAGAAATGATCTCGCTCTGAACTGGCAGAGGCTGAGGCGATGTTTCAGTAACGGACGAGGACGGCTGGACATCGCCCCTTCACAACGGAAAGGGCCGTAATCAGATTGCACGGGGAAAAAAAGAAAATTCGGACGCTTTGTTTATGAACAAACGGTAAGGGTGTTTACCAACGAGTACTCACCTATCGACGTCCATTCCGATTAGCTAAACTCAATTGACAAGCATGAAAAAACCACAGGTATCAAAGACCGGCAAAGCAAATAACTCAGCACCAGCGAAGACGGCGCAGACGAGATATCGGATAGTATTGGATCATAGCTTGGACGGCTTGGATCGAAAGTTAACTACGGGTCCGTTGAAACCATGGCTGAAACTGAAACTGGCAAAACGGGTGAAGCTCAAGCTCGTTGAATAAAGCACTGCAAAAGGGGCGTAAAAAACTGCCATAGAAAGAAAAAAAAACTTCGTAGATAATAAAAATTCCCAACCTCGGCTGAAAGTAATTATAATGCAATTAAATGCGAATGCATTTAAATGCGATTAAATGTTTTTGTTTGTCCCTTGTCCCTCTTGTTCCCCTTCTCCAGGGTTTATTTTCATCGGCTGAAAGCTCAAGGCCAATTTCTGTTTTCTTTCAATATTTTGTGGTCTGCTTCTCGCGCAAGAGTTGCGGTGACGTCAGAAAGACACCGAGCTCTGATTGGCTCTGATTGAAGAATAGTGGATAGACCTCAAAGCTGCCTTTGAGGTCTATTAACTATCCTTCATTCAGAACCAATCAGAGCTCGGCGTTCTGACGTCACCACAACCCCTGCAAAAGAAGCAGACGAACTTGCGCTCCGTATTGTTTTCTGCCTGCATCGCAGACGGCATTGTTGAGGCAGGCTCCAAAGAGGACTGTCTGTCAGCCCTCGGCGTAAGTAACGAAACGACAAACAACGTGACTATTTTTATTGTGCGTGTGGGCGCGTGCATATGCCTGTATGTACGAGCGTGTTGATGAGCGCTAAGACACCTGTGCGAGTGCTGAGGCTTTCAGTCCGTCGGCGCCGGAAAGACTTGCAAAAGCGCGTAATCCTAATTGTGGCTGAAATTTTGCACTTGCTGACGCTAGAAAGAAATTAAATTACAATTCCTCCTAGCCGAAAATAATAAAAACAATTACGAAAAAGTACATAAATTACAGAAATTCAATTACTGTAAATGAATTACTACCCAAGTACGCTTTTTATGCACCCCTCTTCGCTTCCAGTGCACGCCTTCCACATTCAATTCAAAGCAAAGAAAAAAAGACATAAAGAGGTTATTGAAAAATAAATTGCAGGAGGACACGTGTAGGAATGCAAAAGCATTCGTATACATAGCGTATTCCTACAAGCTGCGCGCCCCGCTATCCTACGCAGAGGTCAGCCCGGCAGCCTCTGCGAACGCCTGCCGGCCAGGCTCTGGGGAGCGTGGCGGGTGTGCACTGCTGCCAATGTTATTAGATTAGCTGCAGTTACGGAACTGCTCATAGGTGCTGCTTGCACCAGCAGTACCCCGGCCCCTTACTCACCAGGACTCGCCTCCCGTCGTTCGACGGGCCGGACAGCTGCTTTGGTAACTGCCGTGTATTCTATGGAATGAGTATGTTTTGAAGCACAGCGTTCCATCATACAGTTCATACTCTATGAACATGCAGTTATGAAACGAAAATCTAGATGGCATTTCAAACGACAGGAGGCAGACTGAAGTGAGTGAGGGAAGGTATTCGCGGCGAGATGTTTTGGTGGCGCCCTCCCACGGTTCCCCCTTGTGACGTCATTACCTTGCAAACAACAAGTTCGATGGTGTTTGTAAATAGCATGGTGGAAGCTTGAAATCATTGCGCTCTCAAAGGAACACTGCCCACACCGTCAAAATTAAAGTTCTTTCATTCCTCTTATTTCCGTCGATGATAAATCCCCTTTCCGACGTCATAGTCAGCGTTTCGCCAATCGTGGAAGGCCGACCACAGCGACGCTTTCGGTCGCGCACGGGGCTAATTGCCTTCCACTGGAGTTCCACAGCTGAGGTAATCTAGCAACGCTGGCTGCTGCGTTGGCGCGCGGGAGCAGCACCGCTCTGTGGGGTGGCATACTTTGGAACTATCCGGCGCTTCGGCCGCGTCACAGCCATTTTAAGAGCCGTTCCGCGAAGGGAATTTTTCTGCCGTTTTTTTCTGGTTACGAACAATGCCAACTCTGCTCCACAAAACAGTTAATGCTTTCGGATAAAAAAAAAAAAAAAGAGGTGAATTCCAGAGTATTTTTATCCCATGAATCTGAATATCATGTTCATTTTCCCCTTGGTTTTCCCCGAAGATATGCAATTGGACTCAAGAAGACACGAAAAACCACCGACCAGTTGTTACGTCATACATCTAGTCATACCCAGATCTTTCGTCCGCCAAGTGTGTGTCGCTTGTGTGGGCAACCCACACAAAGAATGCACGAAACTGGGGGTGATTGCTCTCGCACAGTCGGAACACGCTGCAAAGTTCGTCGTTCAGTGGCGGCTTTTGCGCAAACGACGAAAAGTATTTCACGGCATCGTACACGCACAGTAAACACAGCTCACAGTCAGATATTCCAATCGGCTCACTTTTCTCCACTTTGAAATTGTGCCTCTAGCCACATTCGTGGCAACTGCCCGCATCTCTCGGCCCCTCCGATTTTTTGTCAACCTTATTTATCGAAAATAAAGACAGCAAATAGACGTCCCAACTGAAAAAAGTCGACACATCACGACCGGTCGCCCGTTGATTGACTCAAGTGCTCGCGTCGATGGAAAGATTGGGTCCAGAGATGTCTGGCTTTGTCGCCCTCGACGCGTTTTTCAATTCAAAAACAAGCAAAGAAAAAAAAACGCTGAGGTACACCTAAGCAATTCTTACGAGTTGTGAATGCAAAAGCATGCATGCATGCCGTTTTTTTGCTCTGTGGCGTACTTGCGTCGACGGCAGAGCGCGTGCTCTCCTCGCTGCTCTGACCTTGGACGCCTCGTGTTGAGGCACAATTCACACTGAGCAAAAAACGTGCATTGTGGTCAACGTCCACGCCAACGTCGGAAAAGACGAAGCAGTCACACAGGTCCACCTGACGTCGGCGTCATCTCAGGGAACCTCTAGCGTTTGTCGAGAGAACACGGAATTTTCTTTATTCGTCTGCTTCGTACGATTGTTGTTGCCTTGCCTTCGCAATTGCATATGCGCTCGGAGACAACAGTCTTCACTGAGTGGACAGCAGCGATGATTAGATACACGCTTACTTTCCAGTTGTATGCAGCATATGCGAATGGCATGGACTCAAGCGGGCAGCTTCAGATGGTGCTCTTTTGCCGAGTTTTTGTGCAAACAAAGCACGGTGCTATGCCTGCGCTCCCATACCTTTAAGACAGCATGTAGCTTGGGCGATAGTGTTTTTCGAAGAACTGTTGTATTATGAAGAGGTGGTGTGCACACAAAGAATACACAGAACACACTGGAAGTGATCACTTTCGCACAGTCTGAGGTCGGAACGCACCGCGAAATTCAGTGGCGGCTTTCACGCAAGCGCGTACACGCACATAAAACATTGCTTACAGTCAGATGTTCCAGTCGGCCAATTGCTTCTCTCCACGCTGAAATGCTTCCCGCCACATTTGGCGACTGCATGAATCCCTCGACCTCGGTCTTTTCGCCTTCTTTGTGGATCGAAAATAATAAAAATAGCGAAAGCATGTCCTAACCAGAAAAGGGCGATACAGCATGTCCTAACCAGAAAAGGGCGATACGTCACGTCCGGTTGGTCGCTGATTGGCTCAGGTGTGCGTGTCGAGAGAAAAATTGGGTCCAGAGGCGTCGTCTCCCTGCGTCGTCTTACTTGGCGCGCAACTTTTTTAAATACAAAAACAAGCAAAAAACTTACCCCACGATGCACGTTTTTTTGAAGTGTGAATGCACCTTTACCGGCTCACTGGCGGCGCAGACACGCAGCGCCATGGGGTGGCAGTCATTGAAACTGACGCGCAGCAGCCAATGAGAGCCTCGTTCCTTGAAACTATAACGCATGCCAGCCAATGGGACCGAAGCCGAAATCCATCAGCTTCACTCCGCTCCTTTGGGATCGGGGGTGCCGCTTGGCTAGGCTTTTCGCGTGGCTTCAAAGTTGGGAGATACCGGATCGCGGCTTCACTTGGAGAAAGTTTAGGTGTCGTTTGGCGCGGCTTCAAAGCTGATGATGTTGGCTTGCTCCATGGAACAGTGTGCTTTTGCATTAAAAAAAACTCATCCATCGACACGTTTTCTCGCCAAGAATAATTTATTGCAAATTTTTCTGCGGATCAATTCAGACTCTTGGCCTTGTTGCAAAAACTTACGTTTTGTACCGGGACTTTGAGAGTTGCGGGCTCTACAAGCAACCCTCAAATGGGAGCTCCGCGTCAATCTGAACGTTCTCAACTAAGCACATGTGCATTTTCTGAAAGAGCACAATAAACTGAGCCTAGAGCAGCAACTAAATTTCTCCCAAAAACTTTTAAATAATTTTGAATCACAGAAACACCATGTAATATAACCGAAACCGAAACACCTGCAACTTTACTTGTCGGCTGTCTTGTTGTGGTGTCAGATGCATAAACATCAGCACATGGGCGCAGCTTCATGCCGTGTTCCAAAACTTGCTACATTTTTCTCCAAGGGAAGGGTTATGTACTTTGGCATCCTAAGGTTTTCCAATCTGTGTTGTCGTGCGACACGACCCACCAAAGTAACTCGGATCCATTTGGGTAATATCTAAGACAGAGTCTCAGTGGCTGGACTTTTTGTAGCAGCTTTTGTAGCAGGCAAAATATTGGTTTGGAGCAGCCAATGAAAACACTTTTGGAGCAGATGCAAAAATTTGTTAACATGAAAATGTGATTGCATCCAGTGCTTAAAGTCTCGCGCAGGTTGAGAGGGCCCTACAACAAAGGGGGGGTTCTGACAAGATGTGCTAGATGCACATAAAATAAGCCCCACTGCCGACTTTGCCCACACTCTACCCGCAGCCCTCAAATTGCTAATCCCCAAATGTCACGTCCCTGAAAACAAGCTATTTTATTGCAAGATACGATTGTGATTTCACTAATGCTGGGGCTGGGGAGGAGGGTTTCACACCTATCCGTAAAATATCGGTGGGGAGCCTAACACCCCGAGACCCCTCAGACTTTAATCCCCGTTTGCATCGCTAAATGAGTTACTATCTAAAATGACAGATTATTCCTCTTTGATACCTCCTTCCCCTCACTTCGTTAAATGCTTTTTAGTTTCCCTCCTACACCCGCCGGACCAGCGGCAGTCTGGCAACTATGGTCAGCGGGCAACCTTGGTCAGCGAA